CACCAAACTCTCTCATGTTCATATCATCTAATGTCCTACCGGAAATGGAAACGCACCATGTAGAAGATAGAGATCTTCGGAAACGAGCCAAATTCTTGAAACGTTGCAAAGAAGCTGTTTGGAAACGATGGGCAAACGAATATGTGCGAGGGTTACGCGAACGACACATCATGCTTAAAGGGAAGCCTTTTACCCTATTGGTCGGAGACGTTGTTATAATTAAATCAGATGAAAGAAATAGAGCAGAATGGCCGCTGGGAATTGTACACGAACTATTCGAAGGGAAAGATGGTGTCGTAAGAGCGGTAAAGCTACGTGCGGGGAAAAGTTTCATGGAACGACCAGTGCAACATCTTTATCCATTAGAGTTAAGTTGTGACATTGGAACCAGACAGACAACCAAGACGACCACCGAGTTGAATGCAGAGGCCACCGAGTTCAGGCCGAAAAGAGACACAGCTGTTGCAACGAGGCTTCGCAACCAGATGATCGTTGATGATTGAAACGTTAAAGGAACATTTAATCGTATATAGTTGAGTTGACATTGCAAGTTAAAGAAACAATAGTCATATAATCGTTCAAAAGGAGCAACTCACCTCCCTGGATTGACGGTGAAGTTAAACGTATTCTCTCGAAGAAAGATAAGTGCAGAAAACGGGCTAAACGCGACGCATCTCCTAGACTTTGGGAAAAGTTCCGCGAACTTCGAAGATCAGCCAAAACGTTAATACAAGCTAAACGTACGGAGTATTTTCAAAAACTTCCATCTCTGTTAAAGTCCAGTAGCAAAAAGTTCTGGTCACTATTTAAATCCACCTCAAATCACTCCAACATCCCTGCTAAAATGTCATGGTCCATTCAAGATTCAACGTCTTCGACTGCTGACAACCCAGTTGATATTGCTGATATGCTAAATCGCTACTTCTACTCGGTGTTTCAAACTCCCGACCATACCCACAGCCAACTCTCCCCTGTTGATTTTGAAGATGACATGACCGATCTAACCACCATATCAGATCTTACTCTAACCGAAGGAGAAGTTCGTTATGTACTTCGAAATCTTGACGAAGAGAAAGCAACTGGTCCTGACAAAATCCCAGCAGTATTACTAAAAAACTGCGCGGCTAGTATAGCTCCGTCATTATGTGAACTTTTCAACAAAAGTTTATCGTCTGGTCAACTTCCGTCAGAATGGAAGTTGTCTAATGTTTGTCCAATCCCAAAGAAAAGTCCACTTCATGAAGTTTCCAATTATAGACCAATTTCACTTCTGTCGTTAGTCTCGAAGGTATTTGAACGTTGCATATACAATAGACTTATAGATCATATCTCCAGCAAACTGAATGAGCTACAGTATGGTTTTCAAAGAGGCAAGTCTACCACTTCCCAGCTTTTACATGTTCTTCACAACATTCATGAAATGCTTGAAAAAAGATGCCAAGTTGACAAGATTTACCTCGACTTTGCGAAAGCATTTGACAAAGTAAGTCATGACCTTTTACTTGTGAAACCCATAACTTTGGCATCAAAGGTAATCTTCTTCGTTGGTTCAAAGATTATCTTTCTGGGCGTTTTCAAAGAGTCACTGTACATGGTGTTACATCTCAGCCGCTCCCAGTACTATCCGGCGTTCCCCAAGGATCAATTCTTGGACCAATCCTCTTTCTTATCTACGTAAACGATCTTCCCGATAGCGTCTCCCAAGATACTGCCGTGTCAATGTTTGCTGATGATACTAAATGTCATCGCGCTGTTCGTAACCCCCAAGACAGAGTAATCCTACAGTCAGATCTTAACAATATTACGAACTGGTGTCAAGACTGGAGGATGGATTTAAATAAATCCAAGTGCGGAGTTCTTCAATTTACTCGTTGTCTCCAACCTACTATCAACCAGTACACATTAGCTGACATCCCAGTCAAACCTTTAACCTGTGTAAAAGATCTTGGCGTAAGTATCACCAAAGATATGAAGTGGAACCAGCACATGCAGGACTTACCCTCAAAAGCTAACAAAATGCTGGGTTTTGTCAAGAGAACAGCGTCCGGCATTCACGATAAAAGAGTTCGAAAGATACTGTACTTGACCATCATTCGAAGCCAGCTAGCTTACAGTAGTCAAGTGTGGGCACCCCAAACTGTCAACAACATCCTAACGATCGAACGGTTGCAGCGACGTGCATCAAAATTTATTCTTTCGCTCCCGTACAAAACATCTATCCCGTATAAGAAACGATTGGCTACCATCGAAATCCTCCCTCTATGTTACTGGCATGAGTATTTAGATATGGTGTATCTTCACAAATGCCTTATAAATAACTCTGACAATAACATATCTATAAAGATCCCTACACGAGAAACAAGAAATACTAGTTCAACTAACGGCATCCTACTTCATGTAACCAAAAGTAAAACTGTTTCTTTTCAAAACAGCTTTTACATCAGAGCTGCTAATGTATGGAACACGCTTCCCGGCTTCATAAGAAATACCACCACATCTCTAACTACATTTAAATGTAATCTAATGAAATACTACGTAGAATTAACCCAACAAATTTATAACCCTGAACACCCAAGAACATTTAAGTCTGTGTGTATTAAATGTCACACCACTCGCCCACTAATGAACTTATCAACTCGAACATGTTGCTAAATTTAGTTTTTGTTCGTTTGTTCGTCAATACGTTTGCTTTGAATTCTTGTATTTGTGTTTAATTGTTATGTTTGCTTTAACTTCAAAATAATTAGATATACTGTACCATTAGTTGTTCTTTTTTGGAACCCCGTTATTGGAGAACTATCTCTGTGTGGAAATTCCAGTCATTTGTATAACCATAGTACTCTATATAGATCTATTGCAATGACAAACTTGTAAAATAAATAAATAAAATAAAATTTATATTTTTCGCAAATCAACTCTATTAGTTTACATCACAGAAACAACTCATTCATGCTCGTGAAATGTACAATTCTATATCATGTCAGTTGCGTGATTTTACAATATTAACAACAAATCCTATCTTGTGGGATTTTATTCAATTAGGTCAATTGTAAGGTACGCAGTTCATGTGTTCCATCTTACAAAATATCGGCTAACTTCTTGTGAGTTGTGCAGGGGTCGAACTGGGTTAAATTAACTGAGGATGCACAGTGCATTTGGCATGCTTCCAAATATAGAATGCGAACTTGATCCACTGAACTATATAAGATGGAAAGCTGACTTGAGCTCAAAAAGTGAAGCCAAACATGGCGGAAATTGAAGGCATTCTTGCGCGTCATTCTTAGTCCCCTTACGTGCGCGGTCAACTAAAAGTTTATGTTTTTCTTTATTTTCCGAGTAAAAACCTGGTAAAAACAGACGAAATTTGAATGAAAAGTTGAATTCTGGTGTTTTGTTTGAGTTCAGTTCTATTAATATTAAATAAATAATTATTTAAATAAATAAATATTATTTATTTAAAAGATGCGATATTTGAGTGGGAAGAAAGCAAAATAGCTCGGGATTGTTGTTTTTGTAAATGACAAAGAGTGTTAAAACAAAACACAAATTAAATGTCACTCAATGTTTCCAAATATCTCTAATGCCCCTATTGACAAGGGTTTCACACACATAAATAACTCATTAAAATAAACAGTTTAAGTTTATAAGGCAATCATCAAAGTGATTTTATTAAATTGAAAATAAAAAACAAAATTTTCTTATATGTATATATGGAATTAAATTCGCTAAAAACTGCATTTAAAAAGCAGTTTTATCGGTCAGAAAAACCGACTAAAATAAGCTAAATAATGGCGTGAAAACTGAAAAGCACCATAGAAACAAGAAAGCGAAACAACCAAAGCAAAAATAAATTCTCAATTTATAGAAATACATGCATATTTATTCAAAAAAAGTTTGAAATTAGTTGTAGAATTCGCAACGAATTACAGTGGGAAATGCAGTTAGACAGGTCGATTAGATGAAGGAAATCAGGTTTACATGAAATAAATAAGTTTATTTCCTTTTTTGATTTGTTAAAATGAAGAAAAACACAACCCGAGAATCGCGAACATATCACTTACCGCCATGAGAAATAAAAAATGTTTGGCCGCGCCGGTAAAGAGACTGAGAATGACGCGCAAGAATGCCTTCAAAATCCGCCATCTTTGGCTTCACTTTTTTATTACGATACTGACTGAAGTCAGCCTTCTATGTATATAGTTCACTGCCTTGTTCACGAATCATGTTTCCCCTTTTTCTCATGCATGCCCTTTCAAATCCGGCATTTTGAATTTTATTAGGAGTGTAACTACGAAGTATAAAAAAAGACTAAATTTCATCGACGAAAAATTTTAATTTGTAGTTTGAGGATAGATTTTGAAATTTTAAGTTCTTTGAAGGCACAAAGCAAATTGTGCAGTTACAAAAACGATAAAAGTCGTGCAGCCTTGTAAAAGCAACTTGAAAGTATAGTTTTGCGTGAATAGGCCTATATTAATTTACTCGTGAAATATTTTTGCATGCTCTGAACGTCACTGTTTTGCTAATTAATATCTTATGAAATTACAAAATCGTAGTTCATTCTTTATCGGGATTCGCTTTTCTTCAAACTAAATGAGTGTTTTCATATTCTTAAAACAAAATGTATTTAATTGTCGATAAACTGCAAATCGCTTAAAGAATCGTCAAAAACTGTGGTTTCAAAAGCGTTGCCTCAGTCAAGGCTCAAGCAACGTACTAGACTCAAAATATGGAAATAATTGTGTGTAAGTTTAAACTAAATTATATTATATTATATTATTAATAATATACATTAAGATATCACCTGACTGTGATTGGTTGATTTCAGTGCAGTTAATCCCAACAGCAGTGCAATTTTCTGTAATCACAGTGCAATTTTTTGTAATCACAGTGCAATTTTTTGTAATCACAGTGCAATTTTCTGTAATCACAGTGCAAAAATCTGTAACAAACTGATCTGATTGGTGGAAAAACATTGTGATGATTAAATCAACCAATCAGTTTAAAGCAATTTAGTTTAAAGAAGTAACGGTCACAGATTGCTTCAAAACAAAACAAACATGGCGCCGCGCTACACAAAGTAAAGTTGCCTTCGCGTGGAAAATATGGCTTTTATCTTTATTTTT